AGGGAAACCCCCTTGGGAATCCCAGGCCGGTTCCCAGTGGACCCAGGCGGGTTTCCCGGCCCCATTCCCGATGTTTTTTCCCGGGATTCGGGGCTGTGGGAAGGCTCCGGGTCCCACCTGCATGCGCAGGTCCAGGCGGGATCGCCGCTCCCACCATTCCCGGCGCTCCGTGCAGCCGTTGGCCTCGCGCTGCTCCCGCTGGATCCGCTCCAGCTCCCGGAAAAGATCAGCCAGGGGCGCCTGGGAAAACCGCCCCGGGGATCGGGAATTCCGGGAATTCCGGGATCGGGAATTCCGGGGATTCAGGGATCGGGAATTCAGGGATCGGGAATTCCGGGGATCGGGAATTCCAGGGATCGGGAATTCCAGGGATTGGGAATTCAGGGATCGGGAATTCCGGGGATTCAGGGATCGGGAATTCCAGGGATCGGGAATTCCAGGGATTGGGAATTCCAGGGATCGGGAATTCTGGGAATTCAGGGATTGGGAATTCCAGGGATTGGGAATTCCAGGGATCGGGGATTCCAGGGATCGGGAATTCAGGGATCGGGAATTCAGGGATCGGGGATTCCAGGGATCGGGAATTCAGGGATCGGGAATTCAGGGATCGGGAATTCCAGGGATCGGGAATTCCGGGGATCGGGAATTCAGGGATCAGGAATTCAGGGATTGGGAATTCCTGGAATTCAGGGATTGGGAATTCCAGGGATCGGGAATTCCAGAATCGGGAATCGGGAATTCCGGCCCCGGGGATCCTCCGGGACTCCCAGAACGGGGGGAGGAGGAGGAGGAGGGTGAAGGTGAGGATGAGGAGGATGAGGAAGAAGGAAGAGAACGAGGATGAGGATGATGGAGGAGGATGAAGGCGAGGATGATGAAGGATGAAGAGAAAGGTGAGGATGAGGATGACAAAGGTGAGGATGGTGAAGGTGAAGGTGAGGATGATGAGGATGATGAAGGTGATGATGATGATGATGATGATGATGAAGGTGATGATGAAGGTGATAATGAAGGTGATAATGAAGGTGATAATGATGATGATGATGAGGATGATGATGAAGGTCACTGACCTGGCCGCGCTGGGTGGGGATCCGGACGCTCAGGGGCTCGGCGCCGCGCTCCAGCCGCGTCAGCACCAGCGCGGCCGCGGGGCCGGCACCGGCCAGGGACAGCTGGCACACCGTGACACCTGCCGGGGACAGCCGGAATTCCGGGAATTCCTGGGAATTCTGGGAATCCCATCCCATGGAATCCCGTCCCAGGGAATCCCAATCCCAGGGAATCCCAATCCCAGGGAATCCCATTCCAGGGAATCCCAATCCCAGGGAATCCCATCCCAGGGAATCCAATCCCAGGGAATCCCATCCCAGGGAATCCCCAAACCTGGAAAAACCTCCCAGACCCAAATTCCAACCGTTCCCCATCCCAGGAAACTCCGGGGTTGGCACACGGTGAACACCTGCTGGAAATTCCCAGGAATTCCCGGGAATTCCCCCAGAATTCCAACCCCACGGAATCCCCGACCCTGGAAAAGCTTCCCAGACCCAAAGTCTGGAATCCCCAAACCGGGAATTTGGGATTTTCCAATCCTCCAAACCGGGAATTTGGGATTTCCCAACCCCCAGAGTGGGAATTTGGGATTTCCCAATCCCCAAACCGGGAATTTGGGATTTCCCAACCCCCAAACCGGGAATTTGGGATTTCCCAATCCCCAAACCGGGAATTCGGGATTTCCCGAGGAACTGACCGCTGGGAATCTTCCGGAGCTGCTCCCGGAACCGCTCCCGCTCCGCCGGCCCCAACCCCGTGGAGCTGAACTGGAACAGCTCCTCCAGCTCGGCCAGGTGGGATTCCCGGGAATCCTGGGAATGCTGGGAATCCCGGGAATGCTGGGAATCCCGGGAATCTCCCTCTTCCCGCAGGGAGAGGCCCCGGAGCTGATCCGAGACGTCGCCTCCGGCGGCCGCTGCTTTCCGCTGCTTCCTGCGGGATCGTCCCAAAATTCCTCCGGAGGGGGCCGGGGGTTTGGGGATGGAGGGGGGGAAAGTGGGGATGGGGATACGGGAATGTCGGGAATGTCGGGAATGGGGATACGGGAATGTCGGGAATGTCGGGAATGTCGGGAATGGGGATACGGGAATGTCGGGAATGTCGGGAATGTCGGGAATGCTGGGGATGGGAATATGGGAATGTTGGGAATGTTGGGAATGTCTGGAATGTTGGGGATGGGGATACGGGATATGGGAATGTTGGGAATGTCGGGAATGTCTGGAATGTTGGGGATGGGGATATGGGAATATGGGATATGGGAACGTTGGGAATGTTGGGGATGTTGGGAATGTTGGGGATGTTGGGGATGTCGGGAATGTTGGGGATGTTGGGAATGGGACCCCTTGCTTGTGGCACTTGGGGGATGAAAGGGGGGGACGTGGGATGGGACACCGGGGGTGACACCGGGAGGGGACACTGGAGGTGACACCGGGGGGTGACACTGTGGGGTGACACCGGGAGGGGACACTGTGGGGTGACACTGGAGGTGACACTGGAGGTGACACCGGGCGGGCGCGGCCGCAGCACTCACCGAGCCCTGGAGTGGACGATGGCCAGCAGCTGGTGGCGGGCGGTGACCGCCAGGGACTCGGCCAGCAGCCCCGCGGTGGCCACAGGGTCACTGTCCCCAAGGGCCAGCGCCAGCAGCTGGCACAGCTGGGCATAGAGAGAGCCCGGGGGGAAGTGACCGACCCACGCCAGAGCCTCGGCCAGCAGACAGCGGACAGCGGCCAGAGAGGGGACAGCGGCCAGACAGGGGACACCTGCGGACACACGGACAGTGGTCAGTGGCCAGAGAGGGG